CCTTGGTGCTGTCACCCTCTCCTTGGCATTGTCACCCTCTCCTTGGCGTTGTCACCTTCTCCTTGGCGTTGTCACCCTCTTTTTGGCATTGTCACCTTCTCTTCAACATTCCCCCCTCTCTGCAGTGCTGCCACCCTCTCCCCAGCATCATCACCCTCTCCTCAGCATTCCCACCCTCTCCCTGGCACTGCCACCCTCTCCCCTGCATTGCCACCCTCTCCCTGGCACTGCCACCCCCTCCCCTGCATTGCCACCCTCTCCCTGGTTCCCTGTGTGTTCCCAGGCTCAGATTCCACCGGGAAATGTTTATTTCCACTTAGGAAATGCAAAGGACTGGACTGGGTGCACTGGGAGCAAGTCCACAGGGTGAGAGAGTCCCGCTCAGCCCAGAGCTGGGATTTCTCTGGGAGCCTGGGTCCAAGTGGAAATCCCCCAAGAGAAAATCCCCCAAATGCAAATCCCTCGTGTCTGTGAACCCCAGCACCTGCAAGGATATTAAATACACTGATATTTAATGCCCCAGCCCTAAATATCCCAGAGCTAAAAACCCTCATGTTTAATGCCCCAGCCCCAAACACCCCAATGTTAAATGTCCCAACAGCAAAAATCCCTCAAGCTAAACACCCTGACATTTAATGGCCCAGCCCTAAATACCCAGTGCAATACCCTCAGTTTTTAATACCCTATAAAAATTATTATTCATAGGGTATTATTCACCCCGAAGTGAAACATCCCCATGTTTAATGACCCAAAGCTAAATACCCCAATGTTTAACACCCCAAAACTAAATACCCCAGAGCTAAACACCCCAATGGTCTCACAACCCAACATTAAATACCCCAGATTTAAACAGCTCCATGTTTAATACCCCAAAGCTAAGCAGCAGATGTTTAATATCCCAGAGCTAAATTCCCCAGAGTTCAATGCCCCAATGCCAAAAGCCCCAACCTTAAATATCCCAGAGCTAAACACCCTCATGTTTAATGCCCCAGCCCTAAATACTCTAAGCTAAACACCCTGATATTTAACATCCCAGAGTTAGACAGCAAACTTTTAATATCTAAGCTAAGCTTAGATTTAATAATTTAAGGTTTAATATCTCAGAGCTAAGCTTCCCAGTGCATAGTGCTCCAGTGTCAAATGCTCCAATCCTAAATAACCCAGACCTAAACATGCCTATGTTTCATGCCCCAAGTGCCCCAGAGCTAAATTCATTGTTTTAACCATTGATCTAAATGCCCCAACCATAAATACCCCAAATAACTTGCCCCAGCGTTCAGCACCCCAGTGCTCAAGGCCCTGATGTTAAATCCCCCAGAGCTAAATTCCCCTTTATGCATCGATCTAAATGCCCCAGTGCTAAATGAGCTGGTGCTAATTACACTAACTCTTAATGGCTCAGTGCTAAATGCTCCAGTATTTCATGCACTGATGTTTAATGTCACAAAGATAAACACACTCCTGTTTAATGTCCCAGAGCCAAATGCCCCAGTGCATTTTAAACATTGAGGGTAAATACCCCAGCATTAAACACACCAGTATTAATCACCGATGCTTTTATGCTGCAACACCAAATGTCTGGGGCTAAATTCCCCCATTTTAATACCCCAGAGCTCAGTGCCTATTGCTAATGCCCCAACCCTGAAACTCCCAGGGCTGAATGCTCCAAATGCTTAATATTCCAGTGCTAAAAGCCCCAACAGCAAGTGCCCCAGAGCTAAACTGATGATTTCTGTGTTGATCAAAATGCCCCAGTGCTCAATATGCCAAGCCTAAATGCCCCAGAGCTGATTGCCCCGATGTTTAATGCCCCAGTGCCAAATGCATCAACACTAAAAGTCCATTCCCTAAATGCCCCAATTGTTTTATGGACTGATGCTGAACGTCCCAGCCCTAAACACCCCCGAGCTAAACTCACCAATGTTTAACAATCCTAAACACCCAGAGCTATACATCCTGATATTTGATGCATATTTCTGCATAGATGCTGAATGCACCAGTGTGAGAATGTCCCGGTGTAAGACATCCCAGAGCTGAATATCCCGCTGGGAAACACACTAATTCCGATTTATTTTTGCTAAACGCCCCCGCCCTAAGTGCTCCAGGCGCTAAATCCCCCAAACGCTGAATGCTTCTAAACCCCCAGAACTCAGTGCCGAGGTGTTTAATGCCCCAGAGCTCTGCTGGTAAAACCTCCCGATCCTTAATGCCCTTTTCCTGAATGTCCCGTTGGCAAATTCCCCAGGCACTAAATTCCCCAAACACTAAATACCCCGGAGCTAAATATCCCAGAGCCAAATGCCTCGATGCCGAATTCCCCAGGCACTAAATTCCCCAAACATTAAATATCCCGGAGTTAA